TAAAAAGCCCTGAATAAAGGACAGGGCTGTTGGGTATTGATCCAGGCCCTCCCAAAGCTATCCTATGTTTCAACTTGAAAACCCCTATAGAATGACAAGCAAAGGGAGGAGGGACCAGTTAGACTGAAATTTATACCCAGCTAAACTATCTCCCCTACACCGCGTATACTGTAGAAAATGTAAGAGGCAGGTTTGCGAAATGAAGAGCCTTCAAAAAATTTAAATAGAAGTATAGAAGGATGTTACCAAACATAGGAAGGCAAATGGCTTAGGAATCCCTTCCAGAAAATATGAAATTCAATGCCCCAAAGCACAAAGAATAAAGGGCTGTATGTTAGGAAAAAAAAAAAAAAGCACCAAGCTTAATAAACACAGCCACTGTGTTCCACTGAGTTAAACACTAGAAAACCATGGCAAGACTCTGATCAGAAAAAGATGGCTAACAAACCCAAGAAGGGTTATTTGAAATGATGAACAAAAGAGACACAACCTTCGTGTGTTAGCTTTTCATCACTGTGACAGAATAGTTGAGAAAAGGCAACTTCAAAGGCAGAAAGCCTCATTCGGCTCATGGTTTCAGACATTTCAGCAGGTGGTTGCTCTGACTCATTGTTTTGGGCCTGGGGAAGCACAGGGCAGCACAGTAACCTAACTTTCTCCTGTGCTTCTTGACGGTTCCACCTCTCCCCTACGGAGCCACAGTCTGGTGTTCGAGCTTTCATACAAGGACCTTTGGGGGATACTTAAGGTTCTATAGTTTGGAGGCTGACCAATAAGAAGTAAGAGTTAAAACTACCTGTGGTGGAAGGAGATGCCTAGATGGGTAAACGTGGTTACCACCAAACCTGACAACTAATTTTGACGCCAGGACCCTCATAGTGAAAGTAAGGAACTGACTCCACAAAGTTGTTCTCGGACCTTATATGTGTGCCAAAAAAAAAGTGCATTCCCACACACATGCACACAAATAAATAAATGGTTTTTTTTTTAATGATCAGAATGATTTTTACCATTGAATGTCTATTTTATGCATATTCTGTAGGGATCTCTACATTAGTTAATGACTCTATCGGGCATATTGATATGAGTGTTTATACTATATGCAGAATGGGAGTGGGATCTCTGAGAAACGTAAAAACTGTACGTGAATGGCAGGGCCCCACAGGGATGGTGACTGGAGACAGACAGCGGCACCAGACCAAGGGTGAGCCGTTCAGTGATGTCTGTGAGTGTGCTTTTAGGAAAGACAATAAAGTCCAATCTTTCTTTGCTCCCCATGACACTTGTTATTTTGTTGATATTGCTTGGAGTTAGAAAGGAAGCTAGGGCTGGTGTGTGCCGAATATCTTGATATTCCTCACACTTGGGAAGCAGGTGCAGGGAGGTTAGGAGTTCGAGGCCGGCCTGGGTTATGGAGGGAGACCTCATTTCATAAAACTGTGGAAGAAAGGTGAGAGGGAGGGAGGGTAGAGGAAGAGAGAGACCAATAGACGGTTACTTATCTTGATTGATTCAGGGAAGGATTTTGTAATCAAAATATAATAAAGAAACAGCAATGGAGAAAACTCTGGATGCTTTGCCTTTATTCAGGTGAAATTTTAAAAAAAAAATCATCTATCAAAGATCCATGAAAGATCCAGATATTGGTGGCACACGCCTTTAATCAAAGCACCCAGGAGAACAGAGGCAGGTGGGTCTCAGTGAGTTCAAAGGCAGCCTGGTCTACACAGTGAGTTCCAGGATAGCCAGGGCTACACAGAGAAACCCTGTCTCAAAAAATAAACAAACAAACAAACTCATCATCATCATCTATGGAAATTATATGCACAGAGGCTTGAGAGACAGATCAGTAGCTAAGAACACTGGCTGCTCCTCCAAAGGACCCAGGTTTGATTCCCAGAACTCACATGGCAGCCCACAGCTGTCCGCAACTCCAGTCCTGGGAGATCGAATGCTCTTTCTGGTCTCTGCAGGCACCAGGCACACACGTGGTTCACGGACAAACATGCAGGCAAAACACTCATACACATAAAATAGTGATAAAATATTTTTTAATTAAATGCACAAAGCAAATATGAAAAAATACTTGCAACTGAAACTACAAAAGGAAAATAGATGCAATATATTGTTCATGCCAATAAATATGACAACACAAAAATAAATCTTATCGAAAAGCTAGCAAAAGGACAAAAATTTCATAATCCAGAAGAGAATACAGTTGTCTAATAAATGTGGTATTAGTCAGGGTTTCTCTAAAGGAACAGAAGAAAAAAGCATTCAATAATATAAAGTAATATAAAAATGCAAATAAAAATTAAAATGCCCCATCTAGCATGTTAGTAAGCATTCCCCCTCCCTCCCTCTCTCCCTCCTTCCCTCCCTCCCTCCCTCCCTCTCTCTCTCTCTCCCTCCCTCTCTCTCTCTGTAGGCAAACACACGGAAAGACCAATACACAGAGAACCAACGCAACACCGCTGTGACGGACTTTGAGAAGGAGGTGGGGATGTGCATGGAGAGCCACTTTGGAGCGGGATTGTGGAATTGTAGGAATTGTTTCAGACATAAATATGTCTTAGATAGTTCAGTGTGTTAGACCCCAAAATCTAGGGTCTCAAGTGGGTGCCCCAAGAACCCAGACTCCAGTCCAATTGATGCAACAGCAGGAGGTTTTTATTGAAGCGACTGTACAGACGGGCTACTCTTGTCCCGAGAGCAAGAGTTGCATCTTACTGTAGCCACATGGGTGCTTTTAAAGGAAAAACCCACAAAAGCCATAAGATTACAATTCCCATACAATTTCGTTTCACAAGATCATGGTCTGATCACAGAGTGGGTACAGTCACGTCTACATGTATATTTTTCCTGAAACCTCAAGGGGGGTATCAGGGCAGGAGTGGAGTTTACACAAAGGTCACAGTGGTCCTTCCTGGAACACTTGCAACTATCCCAGTCACAGTTGAGCACATCTCCTAGCAGAAATCTTTTTGCATTGTTACATTGTTACAGGGGTGGTTGAATAATGATTGAGTCAGCTTGCCCTTGGAACTAGATTTTCTTTTTAGTTCCTTATTCTCCTGGGACTTGAGGGGTGTAAGCCTGAAGGGTTAGTGTTCTTCAAGTGGACAAAGGCACATGCTGCCGGGCTTGTGGACCTCAGTTTGCTACCCGGAACCCATGTAGTGGAAGAAGACAAATGACTCTTGCAAGTTCTGCCGTGACCCCAGCGTGTGTGTGGTACCGTGCAGGTACCCACACACATCGTGGACACACACACACAACATAACAAAAAAAAAATGTTTAAGAGACAGGAGAGAATGGTGTCAGCTGAGTAAAGTAACTCACACCTTGCAGGCCCAGTCGGGGGTTGAGGCAGGAGGCTCACCTGCTTCTAGGAGTTCAACACAAGTCTGGGACATATCTAAATAAATAAGAAAAAGAATGCCTCCTAGATGACATGAATGTAAAGTTAGTGATTGCGTCATTTTTAATAATAAAGAACAATCTCATGTCGGTATTAACTGGGGCTTTTGTTTATTTGCTGCTTTGCGTTGCTTTTTGAGACAGGGTCTCTCTATGTGGCTGTCCTGGAACTCTCTGTGTAGACCAGGACGGTTCCAAATTCACTGAGATGCACCTGCCTCCGCCTCCCGCACCCTGGGATTAAAGGCACGTGTCACCACGCCCAGCTTTAACTTATTTTTTTTTAAGTTGATAAGAAATATTAGAAGTTATTAAATGAAACAAGACTCAATGCAAAAGTTGTATATTTGTCTTATAAGAAACATTAAAGAGAATTCTCCGTTCTGATGATCTGAAATCTGAGGTGTAGAGGACATGGGGGGAAGCAATCCCGGGTGACCAGTTCCTACAACTAACAAGCTTTGACAAGTGCCAAGCAATAAATCCTCATCCCACACTGCCTCGGCCAAACCCAGCATCTCTGGCAAGCTAAGCAAGCACTCTACCCCTAACCTCTACATCTGCAGCCCTGGACTATCTTCTCCCACCCTGATCACGGCAGGGCCAGGTACCATACAACGTGTAAACCGTTTGCAGGCCTCAAAGACCATGCCCTAAAGCCATTCCTACCAGGAAATCCTAACCCTGCTCACCCCTCGTCAGTTACTCTCCCTCAGAAACTGGAATGAAGTCTCTTGCCTGTGTTTTTCCCTTGACCCTTTCCTCCCTGACTGCCCTGATATTTCCCCATGCGGCCTTTGATGTTTGGTCCTCTTGGGAACCGTAAGTAACAAACTGTCCTGTCCTCAGACTTATTTCTTAATTTGTTGACCTCACAATATTTGAATAATAATAAAAATATCTTCATTTCAAGACAATTTATTTTAGAATTATCTACAGATAAAAAAAAAAACAAAAACAAAAAAAAACAGGCCCTAATAGTCTTACTGGTGAATTGTACAGATTTTTAAAATAATAATAATTAATATTAACTCCTCAGAAACTCATCAAAGGTATGAGTAGGGACTGCCTCCCAACTCATTCTATGAGGGTAACATAGTATGTTGCTGAGACCCAACCAAGACAGAGAGAGCCGATAAAAGAAGACTTCTGTATATAGACACAAAATTCTCAACAAGTATAAAAACACTAAACCAGCAACATATAAAAGGAATTCTTAGCCAGATAGGGTGACACCTGTTCTCACCAGGTTAAAGCAGAAGGAATACAAAGAGCTAGACGTTAAAAAAAATTCCATTTGTATGAAAAGTCCAGAATAGACAAATCTAGACAGGCAGAAAGTAAGTAAATGGTCTCCTAGGGTTGGCTAGGGAAACAGAAATTGCCCAAGGATACGAGGGATAAATGTTCACAAAATATTTGTGTGGATAAACAACGGCATTAGTAAAAAAAAAAAAATCATCAAATATATTATATAATTTAGATGGGTGTATGGTATATAAGCTATGGTAATCCAGTTGATGTTTAAAAATACAGAAAAATGTCAATGGAGACTTTTTAAAAAAACCTATTTGTTACGTTACCCAGACCAGTCTCCAGCATGTAGCAGACACCCCTATTTCAGCTGGGTGCAGGTATGTGCCAAGGTGCATGCCAGCTCAGAAACAAAATGCTAATAGTAACAGACTCTAGCAAGTCGGCAGGTAGTTTGGGAGTTTCTTCTCCATGGGCTTCCTACGTTTTTTTTTTTTTTTTTTTTAATGATTGCATCATGCCATATCATGAAAATATATAAATATTGCGAAATAATTCCTTACCAATAGAGCGTTTCACCGACACTGAGGTCAAGAGGGTTGTGTAACAGGATTGTACATTAGGTACAGGGTGGATCCGACATTCTGGGGATGCTTGGAGAGATACAGGGGAAAAATGCTTGAGCTGGGCCATGTTGGATAAGCAGGAGTTCTCCGGGGAGAGGGGGTAGGAAGAACATGTTGGGAGGGAACAGAGTGTTCAGATCTCTGACGTGAGGGAGAGCATCCTGGCTTGCTCGGCGACTGTGGGATTATGAGGTATTCCTGGATGGTGGAGTCTATTAGGAGGGTGCAGCCGAGTAGAAAAGAATCCAGCAAGATAAGGTTGGGTAAGCGTGCCAGGCTGAGGATGGAGGGTCTGGCATGCTGTGAAGTGGGCAGCCGTGGCACTCACGTCAACAACACAGCAGAGACCAAAACATCGCCTTAAGAACCTCCCAAGTCAGCTCCTGCTCACCCCAGTGGCAGCCACAAGATCCGAACCCACAACTGAGTAAGCAAAAAGAGGTTTGTTTCCTTTTAAAGATGCCTTAGAAAGACCGGGGCCATGATCTCCAGCTCAGAAGAGCCAAGTCTTTGGCTGAAGCTGAAAACCAGGCGCTACCTATTCTCAGTAGCTCACCCGACTCCCACCTCAGGCTAACATTGTCCTGGGGGCTTGTTCTCCTGGTCCCTGGGACACTGTTTTCAGAACTGCTTTAAGTCATAGGAGGGTCGCTCGGCCGCCTCGATTGGTCTCATTCTCGCAGGGTTTTCAGATGCAAGGCTCAGGTGCCAGAGTCGCCAAAGGAAGCAAAGCGGCAATTTTCTCTCTATAAAATCATCGTACTATTCCTTTCTCCTCCAGGAAGTCTCGAGCTTTGGAGGGTCGAGTCCTGGGAGCTGGTTAAAAATGAAATAATTAGACCTTTGTTTCAATTGTACGAGAGAAAACTAAAATTCAAGTTAGGGCATGCACGGGGAAAATTTTGGTATTCTATGACTGTGTGTGTGTGTGTGTGTGTGTGTGTGTGTGTGTGTGTGTGTGTGTAAAGCATCAACAAAAAAAAAATACAAGAACTAATGAGTCACCGAGAATGTTCGAAACTATTTGTCTCCCCCAGGAGATGGCCAGATAGTCAGAATGATTCAGCCTGGGAAATTACCAGCCGGAGAGAGGGCCAATGATGAAGAGGTCTGCGGAGCTCAGAGGTGGGGAAGGGGGTGGGGAACGGGGCCTTCTCCCACAGCTGGAAGTTTTAAAAGATTACCTCAGGGGATAGTGAAGGGCGGGGCTCCAACCTGCTTGTTCTCAAGGCAACCCAGAAGGCTGAGCCGAGAGGAACAGTCAAAAGGGCTGGCCAGGACATTCAAGAGCCAAACCAAGTCTCCGCCACCTTGCAAACTCCTTCTGGGGCCTTCCTCTGGGGGTCTCGTATTTGGAAAGAATTGGCAACAACTTTGCCTCGTCAGTGGAAGACACTCTACTCTTCACCTCCTCTATGGCTCTGCACTCTTTGCCTGTCCACTCTGGGCGGAAGGGTGGGGAGGTGAGGGATGCAGGTCCCGGGACGGGGGTCCAAACACCTTCAGCTGCTGCCTACAGTGTACACATAACCCACCGTAGTCTGCCTCTTCAAAACAGCTCCAGGGTAGTTTGGCAAGAATACCACCTGAGAATATTGTCTTGGTTTTATTTGTGCTGTTATAACAACATATCTGAGTCTGAATAATCTATAATAAAAAGTTATTTTTTCCAAGTTCGGGAGGCTGGGAAGTCAAGCTGAAGGCCCGGTCCTTGTTTCCCAGCTGGGATTTGAGTCCTCACATGGCAGAAGGGCCAGAAGTACAAAGAGCAACAAGGATCAGTTCCCTTCAGCCCTCTATAAGGTCACCACCAATCCTCTTCCTGAGGGCTCCACCCTCTCGGCTATCTCAATTCCTGCTGGTGGCTCCGTCTCTCCAGACACTCACACTTTTGACTGAGTTCCAGCATATGGATTTGGGGAAACATGATCTGATCACAGTGAGGAGCCAGAGGGTCACGCTCTGTCTCCGTACAGCATCTTAAAGGGCATCCCCCACGAGCTCTGCAAGCCACCATTAAAAACTACCAGGGCAGGCAGAACGACTCAGCAGGTAAAAGCGGTTTCCTGCTCAAGCCTGATGACCTGAGTTCTATCCCTGGAATCCACATGGTGGAAGAAGAGAATGGTTTCTGAAAGTTGACCTCCACATGCACCCTGTGGTACCCACACGTCCGTGGTACCCACAACCAAGAAAGAATGCAAGAACGGAAGAATCAAATAAATTTCCTTTCTTTCTTTCTTTCTTTCTTTCTTTCTTTCTTTCTTTCTTTCTTTCTTTCTTTCTTTCTTTCTTTCTTCCTTCCTTCCTTCCTTCCTTCCTTTCTTTTTCTTTCTCTCTCTCTCCTTCTTTCTTTTTTTTCTTCTTTTCCTTTTCTTTTTTCTTTTCTTTTTTGTTTGTTTTTCTAGACAGGGTTTCTCTGTGTAGCCCTGGCTATCCTGGAACTCACTCTGTAGACCAGGCTGGCCTTGAACTCAGAGATCCATCTGCCTCTGCCTCCCGAGTGCTGGGATTAAAGGTGTGCGCCACCACTGCCTGGCTCAAATGAATTTCAAACTCTAAACAGTGAAGTCCCCATGGTACTTCAAACCTTTCTAAAGAACTCAGAGTGATTTTGGGGGAAAAAAAAAATCATTCCTCAAATTGCCCGTCAGACAGAGAATTGGGAGCTGATATTTGTTAAAGGATTACTATGTGGCAAGCATTCTTCTTAAGCAATTATTTGTTGGGTTGAACAAATTATGTGTTTCCTATGGCTTTTAGTCTAGTTTGAAAATAGAGACGACAACTTCTTTCTTATAAGCTGTACGTCCCCAGAAAGTAGCAGGCGCTGAGTGTGTCCCCCACCGGCTGAAAAGTGCCTGACTGCTGGGACTCTGTCCGCTCTACTTGCCCCTTCTTGTCAGTGGGCAGACCTTGTGTCTCCTCTCAGAGCGACAGAGAACATGAGGCAAGATTCTCTCTTGCAAGGAGGGTGTTGACAGATGAGATCTGCGTGCGTGCGTGCGTGCGTGCGTGCGTGCGTGTGTGTGTGTGTGTGTGTGTGTGTGTGTGTGTGTGTTCTTTAAGAAGGTTTCTGTGGATCTGTTTGTAGTCAGGGCCTCCCTATGTAGCCTTGACTGGCCTGGAACTCCCAGAGTTCCACCTACCTCTGCCTACAGAGTGCTGGGACTAAGCCACTATGCCTGGCTTGTGTATTTGTTTCCAGACAGTCTCCCCATCTAGTCTGTGATGTTTCTGCCTCAGCCCCACCCACCCAACCCCGGTGTTGGGGTTATAGGACTACTCAGGCTACCTTGCCTGGCAATTTTGTTGTTGTTGCTTGTTTTGCATGAAGGTTTTCTTTCTTAAGGAAATACGTGGCTGCAGAAAACAGAAAATACATCATTAAGAAGGTATGCTTTTTTTTTTTACTTCTTTTTCGTGTGTGTGTGTGTGTGTGTGTGTGTGTGTGTGTGTGTGTGTGTACATGATATATGATGTATGTATGTATTTGCCTAATCAGTGGATGAAGTGGTAGCTAATGATGAGAACTTCTGAGCTGACACCCTGAAGTGATTAGAGCAGTATTATGGGATACTTGTTACACTGTGTGAAGATGAATCACTATGATTGGCGTAATAAAAAGCTGAACAGGCAATAGCTAGGCAGGAGGTGTAGGCGGGGCTTCTGGGCAGAGAGAAACTGGGAGGAGGAATCTTAGCACACGATTTCACCAGCAGACCCGGAGTAGGTCAGATGTGCTGTACTAAGAAGGGGTAACCAAGACACATGGTAAAACAGATTTAATTTAAGTGATAAGAGCTAATGGGACAAGCCTAAGCTATCCTGGGGTGCACCATGTAGCGCAGGCCAGTTGGAGAAAGAAGGCATTTCACAATTTTAAATTTTGACATTTTAAGGCCTGCGTGGCGGCAGGAAGGTCCAGCCTCTTCTGATGGACTGAACCCCGAACATCTGCACAAAGGCGTATTCATTGAAACTTACACAAAGTATGTCTTCATACCAAGGTTCCTAACCTTAATTTACATGTCCTACGGAAGGAGGGCATCACATGACTCTGGTCCTTTATGACGCGTCGTGTGCAATACTCAATGATACAAGAGACCTAAGTCGTGGGATGGCTGCAAAGCCCCTTCAGCAAAACAATCACTGTTCCCCACAAGGATGCTTCCAGGCCAAAGCACTTCTGAAAAAAAAAAAACAGCTGTGCGTTCTAATATCCACTCCATCCAGTGCTTCTGCTGGCTTCCTGCAACACTAAGCTAAGGCCATGCTTTCATAACTAACATTAAGTCTCTGCGGGCTGGCGGTCCAAAGAGAGTCCGACAAGAAGGCTTGCTGCCGCCGAGCATCCTGTTGGGGAGCAGCAACCACGTGGAGACAACAGTCCTCAGACCCACGGAGGTACCAGCGTTTTAATCCCGCCCCACCCTCGGCATCTCAACCCAGACGGACGCCATCGCCTGACGCCACCGCTGCAGCTGCTGTGGCTCACCCCCGACGTCATTTCCACGCATCTGTTCGCTGGCAATGTTAGAGATGGCGCCGAGGGCCTTGCCGGTGCCGAACACCATCTCCATCATTCTGTGGTACACTGCCAAGGAAGACTCCCATTTAAAGGAGTCAGCGGCATTCGCCTCGGGCTGCTTGCTGCCACATGAGATTTTGGTTTTTTGTTTTTCAAGAAAAGGCAGAAAAAGAAAAAAGAAAAGAAAAGGCAGGGGAAAAAAAGAAAAGAAAAGGCAGAAATCTGGGTCTTTTATATAAAACTTCAGAATTTCGAGTGTGGGCTCTGACTGAAGGAAAATCTGCCCATTGAGTTGAACATAGACACTGACTGACCATTTTTCAATGCCTAATCTGCCTCCTAGAGTGGCTGCGTGGCAAGAATAAAAACATTTAAAATAAGATGAGTGCTGTGCTGGTGTTTTCTGTCAACTTGACACACACCAGAGTCCTCTGGAGAAGGGACTCTCAATTGGGAAAATGTTTCCACAAAATTGGCCTGTTGGCAACTCTGTGAGGCATTTTTTTTTTTAATTGATTGATGACTGATGGGGGAGGGCCCAGCCTATGGTGGGTGGTGCCGTCCCTGGGTTGGTGGCCCTGGGTTCTATAAGAAAGCAGGCTGAGCAGGTCCTGGGAAGCAAGCCTGTAAGCAGCTCCCCTCCGTGGCCTCTGCATCAGCTCCTGCCTCCAGGTTCCTGCCCTGTCCTGAGTTCCTTCAATGGGGAACTATGATATGGAAGTGTAAGCCAAATAAACCTTTCCTCCCCAAATAGTTTTTGACCATGATGTTTTGTCACAACAATAGTAACCCTGCCGGGCAGTGGTGACACACACCTTTAATCCCAGCACTTAGGAGGCAGAGCCAGGCCGATTTCTGTGAGTTCGAGGCCAGCCTGGACTACAGAGCAAGATCCAGGACAGACACCAAAACTACACAGAGAAACCCTGTCTCGAAAAACCAAAAAACAAACAAACAAACAAACAAACAAACAAAAACCAATAGTAACGCTAACCAAGACAACTGGTGTATCGAATACTCAGAATGCTTAACATGTTCCAGGCATTAATCTCCTTGAATTGTGTCTTTGTGTGCAAATGGATGTAGGCCTCATGAGGCGTAAAGGGGATGGGATTTTTACCTTATTTTGCAAACAATACAAGTAAGGAAGAGAAATGAAGAAATTTGCTCTGCTCGTGCAGTGGGAAGTGGACTAGAGTCTGAAGCAGCGTCAGGGTAGCCAGCCTCAGACTTCACCATCTTCAGCCGGGGCATTGCGCTTGCAAAACAAACCGTACAGTTTCCA